AAAAAAAAAAAAAAAAAAATCATTCAAGATGGAGTTTTGGAATGATTAATTAAATTGAGATGAATTATTGAGTGGAGTGGGTTCTTTCTCTGTTTCAAAAACTTTTTTTTTAATTGAAGAATTTTGCAGCACAATAAAAAAAAAACCTTAGCACAAATGTATAATTGAATGATACGTCCACAGGATCATGTTATCGATACCACCGCCGGATTCTACAGAAAAAAACTCTGAATCCAATTTCTCATTCTCAAGATGTAACATGTACGTTACTAATTACACGGAAGTGTTGTTGAAAAACATGACCCACGCCAACCCCCAGTGGCCGGTCAGCACGTGTAAATACGGCTACAACTTCAACATGAGCAACGTGCCCTACATGTCCATCGCTGCTGAGGTTTGTGCTTTCATCTTTTTTATATTTATTACACTTGTATACCTCTACAGTACACGAAAAAAATAAAAAATACAATTATCACGAAATTACCATTTCATCGATCCTCAACCAGTTTTCATAATTATTCGAGCTTGAACAACGATCTTTCTGCAATAAACACGGAATTAAAATCAATCTTTTTTTCCTCTCTCTCTCTCTCTCTTTACAAGCTCCAATAATACTAGCTCCCACGCGCTCCGAATAATTAAGTAATAATTACGTCCATTGAGACGTTTCGGGGTAAGCGTATAGTGGTTAGCCGATCCGGTCGTGAGATGTTAAGTAGATCGGGTGCACGTACACTGGACTGTGGTTTTACACGCGCTTAAGCTCGATACCGATCTCTCGGCAATTCACCTCGTTATGAATTTTTTAATATTGTTGTCTGTGAGCTTCCCGCGCAGATATATCGTTGGATTTTTTCAATTTTCAATTAAAAGTTTTTTTTTTTGTTTTTAACGCTGATCATAAAATAGAATTGAGATTTCATCTTGAACGGAGGCAATGAAGAAATTAACGAGGCACCCCGGAAGAATCTCTTTTTTCTACAAACGATTTTCACACGAGACGATCGGTACTCTGAAAGTGATGCATTTATCGATGAAGCACAATCAGTCAAGTACACACAATCAATCATTCTTTCGCAGAAGTAAAATTTTCCCATCAAACGCGACGAAATTACTTCCCAAAATACTAATTATAGCAGATGGACATTGAACTTGCAAGAAAAAAAAAACGAAAAAATCAACACACCGTTTCGCAACTGTATACGCACGATTATAAAAGCGAAGGAGATAAATAAAGATCGGCAAATGCGGAAAAGCAAACGTTCACTCGATCCTCGTGCGAGAGATAAGTGATACGAGTGAACATCAGCGCTTCTTGTTTGTTTGCTAAACGATTTACGCGCCGCGGTGCACCCGCGTCTATCTATTATTTATAATTTCGTGGATGCAATTATTCAAATTGACGTATCGTCGATCGCGAGAAAAAATAAACCGCGAAAACGACTCGATGATTTTTTTTTCTTTTTTTTTTTTTTACGCTTGTTTATCTAAATCACACTGCAAATTAATTATTCCTGACTCCGCGCAATCTCATTCGCGTTGGTGGAACGTTTCCTCAGCCCATATCGTGAAAATCGTAAAAACGAAAAAAAATTTTACCCGTCTCTAGTACCCTGCCTCTTGTTAAATACCTTGTAAAGAAAAATAATACGCCGCGGAAGTTCAATTAATCGCCTTAGAAACCGCCGATCTCGCGCTTTGGTAGAAAAAGAAAAAAAAAAAAAAAAAAAAAAAAAAAAAAAAAAAAAAAAAAAAAGATTCGTCACCTCTTTCGCCAAAGAAACGGCAGTGGGACCGCTCGCTGGCTCTAGTTTTAATTGTCGCGGACAAAGCTGCGAGTACACAGGGCTATTGGAGCGAGCGAGCAAATGAATGGAGGGAAGAAAGAAAAAGAAAAGTACGTGTGCTCGCCGAGCGGATAATTGGATACGAGGCGATGAGAGCCTCTGACGATAAGAATTATTCACCCACACGCCTCTTGGTTGTTCATATTGTTACACGAGAGTGGCTTTGTATATTATATATACACCACCGGACGGCGTGAAATTGAATATTGTCGATGTTTGCAGTATACCAGATGTACATCGGTGCCTGTGCATTGAAACTCGAATAAAAATACAATATTGACTGATTTTCCAAACAATTCTCTTATGTTTTCTTAAATTGATATACTTTTTTAACGTCTGGTGTCACCGTAGTGTGAAAATGACAAAATAATTGGTCCTTTTGAGCAAAAAGGATGAAAATGCTTGAACAAGCCTTGATTCTTTATAACAAATTTAAAAAATTGATGATTAAAATACTCATATTCCGACTCCACTTGATTCTATGGCTATAAAATAAAAATAGTTTTATTCCTTTTTAAACAAGTTTACTCATTATTGTATGGTTCGTAAATGTCAACAAGTACTCGCAACTTTACATTGACATTAATCGTAAACAGGAAAAATTAAGTATTCTTAGCTATTATATAATTTTAATTAAGTTGTAGGATTAAAAACAAAAAAAGAAATCTATCGTTAAAATGTTTACCTAAAAAACAAAATATTCAATCAAGATTGTTTTAAACACACGAAACTCCTGAAAAAAAAAAAAAAAAAAAAAAAAAAAAAAAAAAAAAAAAAAAA